CAGTGCCCATGACGCTGTGATATATTTTGCGGTATCCATGATGCTGTGGTATATTTGGCGGTATCCATGATGCTGTGGTATATTTGGCGGTGTCCATGATGCTTTGGTATATTTGGCGGTGTCCATGATGCTTTGGTATATTTGGCGGTGTCCTTGACGTTTTGGTTCACTTTGTCGTTGTCAGTTGACCTTGTGGTACATTTTGTCGTTGACAGTTGACCTTGTGGTACATTTTGTCGTTGACAGTTGACCTTGCGGTACATTTTGTCCTTGTTAGTTGACCTTGAGGTACATTTTGCTATTGTATGATGTCGCTGTAGTATATTCTATTCTTGCTTGATTGGGATATGGAGCGTCTCTGCGTGCTTACGTATTTATTGTTGGTACTTGTGTGATGGTACTTATTATGTTTTGACCCTTTATGATTGCGCTATGTTATAATTTGTCCTTGTTTTCACGTTGAGGGTGCTAGTAGAGTTTCATTACATTATATTTTCAACAAATATTCAATAGATTTCCACATGACGTACCTGGTTTGTTATCTCGCCCAGTCATGTCATACCTACTTTGTTCTCTCACCGACACATGTCATACCTAATTTGTTCTCTCACCAACACATGACATTCCTAGTTTGTTCTCTCACCGACACACGTCACACCTTATTTGTTCTCTCACCAACACATGGCATTCCTAGTTTGTTCTCTCACCCACACATGCCATACCCAGTTTGTGCTCTCGCCGAGAAATGTCATAGATGGTTTGTCCTCTCACCCACACATGTCATACCCAGTTTGATCTCTCACCGACACATGTCATACCAAGTTTGTAACTCGCCAAGTCATGTCATACCTAGTTTGTATCTCGCCAAGTCATGTCATACCAAGTTTGTTTTCTCACCCACACATGTCATACCTAGTTTGATCTCTCACCGACACATACCATACCCAGTTTTTGCTCTCGCCGAGTCATGTCATACCTAGTTTGTCCCCCACCCACACATTGCATTCCTAATTTGTTCTCTCACCCACACATGTCATACCCAATTTGATCTCTCACCAACACATATCATACCTAATATGTTCTCTCGCCGACACATGCTATACCTAGTATGTTCTCGTGCCGAGTCGTGTCATAGATGGTTTGTCCTCTCACCCACACATGTCATACCCAGTTTGATCTCTCACCGACACCATGTCATACCAAGTTTGTTTTCTCACCAACACATGCCATACCTAGTTTGTTTTCTCACCAACACACGTCACACCTAGTTTGTCCTCTCACCCACACATGACATACCTAGTTTGTTCTCTCACCGACACATGCCATACCCAGTTTGTGCTCTCACCGACACATGTCATACTTAGTTTGTCCTCTCATCGATATGTCATAGATGGTTTGTTCTCTCGCCGACACATGTCTTACCTAGTTTGTTCTCTCTCCCACACATGTCATACATAGTTTGTTCTCTCGTCGACACACGTCATACCTAGTTTGTTATCTTTCCGTACCATGTCATACCTAGTTTGTCCTCTAACCCACACGTCATACCTAGTTTGTTATTTCGTCGACACACGTCATACCTAGTTTGTTATCTTTCCGACACATGTCATACCTAGTTTGTCCTCTCACCCACACATGTCATACATAGTTTGTCCTCTCGCCGACACATACCATACCCAGTTTGTTCTCTCACCGACACATGTCATAACTAGTTTATTCTCTCACCGACACAGGTCATACCTAGTTTGCCGTCTCATCGACACATGACATATATGGTTTGTTCTCTCACCGAACCATGGCTTACCTAGTTTGTCCTCTCGCCGAGTCATCTCGAGCAAAATACATAAGTCTGATGCCAAATCGGAAAATCGTTTCTGCACGACTAGTAAAAATATTGTGAAGGTTTTTAGACTACAGACAGGCATTTTCTTAAATAGTTAGTGCATACATAAAATACAATCACGACCATATCATACGTTCATGTTCCTTTACTGTAAGTAACTGTATAGAAATAGAAAATTTCCAACATCATAACATCATACACTCAAATAATATTGCCATGTATTTGTATGGGGGATAAAAAATATTCAAAATAATAATTAAAAATGAAACTCCCACGCTGCAAAATTTTTTCACATAGAAAACGTCATGATAATAAAATTTGCATTTGAAATAAAAACGAGAATAAGAAGAAGAATACCTTCCAAACGAGCTCGGCGTTTGCATTTCGTCGTATAACACTAACCTAGACATAGTTACACTGTAAGCTGTAAGATATTGTCGAATTATGCATGATTGATATAAGAGAGTGGGGATTTTGATAGACTTCCTTTTACATTTTTAGTAAATCATGGCATTGACAGTAGCAATAAAAAATATTTGTTTATTATTTATTTATCAAACTAAGTATCAGTTGGTTACTCAGCATCCAAACTTGTAAAAATAAATCACTTTCATGGACATGAGTACTTGCAAAATTATTCAGATGTAACTTTTAGCAAACAATGCTTTTTTGTGAAATTGACCAAAATGTTTCCTTTGTTTACTCCTTTATTGAAAAATATGCAAACGACACACTTTTATCGAACAGTGTCACTAGCTGCCTGTGTCGATAATAAAGGTCAAATGATTGAATATCCGTGTGTGAAATATGCTCCAACGTACATAGAAATGTAGCAAAAGGGAAAACGTGTCTACAAAGCCTTTAAAACGTTACAAATTAAAAACCTTTTGCTAATAACAAATAATTCATTCTTAAAAAAGTAGGCAATTCACCGTTGCTGGGCAAAAAACTAACTATTTCATGTAAAATGTCCAAAAATAAATTCCAGTTACAAGATTCAACTAAAACATCGCTCACTGGAAAAAGAAAGGCTACATGTGGTGCACGAATTAACTACTGAAGCATTCACTCTAAAAGAAATTTCAAAATTAAATTATTGATTTATTCGAATACAAAAATAGCTAATATGTATAAAGTGGTAATTGTTGCTATCGTTATAGTTCCAATCGTTGAAGCACATCGCTACACTTAGCACTGACTTTGAGGGAAGCTAAATTGTCTGCGCGGGTTGGTCCTATATTGACGATCGCTATAGGTTTCTTTTGTGTGTGAGCAGCATTTACAAAGCGGAATCCAGAATACACCTGCAACACATAATTCAACAGCATATAAGTATTTAATGCATACAACAAAACGAATATACAAATCAATTGCACAACACACCTACACNCCCCCCCAATATAAAACAAGAAGTCTAATTACGTTAATGGTAACCCGAGTTTAACTGTAATGACACATTCTTTTGATAGGAATCTCCATACATATGTATTAATGATAAGTTAGGCAAATGCTATTTTTGCCTCCTGCTATGGGAATATGGAACAGAATTTGACTTCACGGAAAATAAGTCATCATAGTAGCTTTCAGTTGATATGTCTTTTTAAAGGTTTGTATTAGTGATCCAAAGCAATGTCATATGAAAGTTCTGCTCCATGTGACTCCTGATGGCCCTTGTTCCTCAGTCCCCTTAGGTATAGATTCTGATATATTCATTGTTTTAAAATCGTTTTACGGAATATTGGTGAAAAAAACAGCGATTTGTTTCAGAGGAGACGATTGATTTGAAGGTTTTGCTCTCAGTAACGTGCTGATTAGCTCACGCTAAAAATCGATTTGTACAATTATGACATGTTAGTGAATGTTAAAGTTTTAATTCTGTATTTGTACCTGTTTTATTTCCATAAAATGATCCTTGGCGCCACACATTATTAATGGATATCAGTGTCGATTCAATAAGTCGAGTGTACGTTAGTTTAACACGAAGCTAAAATACTTTGAACAATAACCTTAAGTTCAATCAGAGGTCGTGTATCGTACATTCAATTATCGCTACCTTTTACTATAGAAATATATGAACCCTTATATTTTATTTATTGTATATTTACATAAGTAATATATTTATAAGACAATATATGCACATCAGTTCAGGGTCCATGATGGTTTCTGAATGATTTATAGCAGACAGACTCTTAGTAATGAATGATAGGGTCATTGACAATGGAGAAACTGTGTTTCAAAAAAGAGTTCAATCATTCTCTGTCACTAGTATTGTAATCATTCTGCTCTGGTAGTGTTCCGTATAACCTCATACTAATTCATATTGGAAAAGGTCCAAAGGACATGTATGTGTCGCTCATCTAATTCAAATGTTGTTTGAAGTGCTTGACAAGACGTATATTGTTTTTAAAAACATATGACGATTTTAACTTTGAATTCGGATAGGTACAAATGATGTTTAGACCTTAACTTGCCAGCAAGCTTATGAAATCATGCCTAATATCATATTTTTTCAGAAGAATTTATATGAAAATCTTGACCCAAGCGGCTGATGTGTGCTTGCCTCCTTGTGATAGCGCGGATCTGATGCCGACTTTATAGTGCTTTCTCACTGAATTGTCATGTCGAAGGCACCCAGCACAGCATTCCGCCCGGTCACATTTAGTGACAACGGGTGAACCAGTTGTTGTCATTCTCCTTAATGCTGACTGTTAGGAAGGAAATCACAACTACCATTTCTCACCTGGGCGAACGCTCAACATTATATAATGACGAACATAATGCAAATGTGTAGTCCCTTCCAGTAGTACCAGTTGGGGACTAGCTTTTGGAATTATCTAGGGGATAATCAAACGAGGGCATGATTTGTTTGTATATGCATCAAAGCGAGTAATTTCTCTATGCATAGGCTAGGTTATACTTGAGAATTTTCAAGAATCATAATCACAATCGATCATCAAAAGTTTCATTCTTCTTTCAAATGGTAAAAGTAAATATGAGGATGGTTGGCATTATGGGATTATCTTGTAACGTAAACTTAAATTGCTTATGTTCCAGTAACTATGTACAGGAAATTTAAGATTAAAGGACAACATTTATGTACACTACGAGAGAACCGCTCGAGCAGAACAACATCCAATGTATAGAACATAGGAAGAGTTGGCAAGTATGTAACCAATGATGACGGAATCATTAGATTTTTCAGATCTGCTTCAAAAAATGTATATGAATAAGCCGGACATCAAGAGAGAATGAGAGACCTTGGTATTAAGCGAGTTTAATCCGATCATTCCATCAAAACATGCCATTCCGAACCCATGACAATTAGGTGGCAGCAGCTGAAAATTGGCCAACCGTCAAATTTTATTTCGGGACGTGGCATACGAGAGCCTTCCGAAAATATCTTTATTAGTGTCAGGAATTACTGTTGTATATAGTTTGACCTTTCCATTTCAATATTTTAAAGTATCCCCCTTTAGCAGAAACGGACTTTCGTAATCGCGCTATCCATGACGTAAACGCTGCGCGGCAGTCTCCCGTCGGCCTGGTATATTGGCAAGACACTGAGAGATGGCACTACTAAGGGCACTCTAGAGGCAAACCATTTCTCACAGAGAGCATTGTCTTGATTAAAGGAAACAAGAAGAAGTCACAGAGACTTAGATCTGAATAAGGTGGTGGTCAATGTGGACTACCTTCTCTTGCTTCAAAAACACCTGTACAATATTGCTTTTGTGAGATGAAGCGTCGTCATGAAGTAGCTGGAAGCCAATCAACCCTTAACTTGGGACATATTTTCCTGTAGAATCTACTGACAGGCTTCAGTCGTCGGTCTCTGTAAAACTTATCAGCGATAGTTTTCCCTTCCTTGGACGGTATCTGAACCACAGGTCAACTAGAATTGACGACAACATGGCATACCAAACCATCTTGGTGCATTGTATACGTCCTTGCAACTACTGGCCTTTCTTGATTTTTCAACATCCATTGAATGTCATTAATGCGCCTCAGAGGTTCAAAGTAATATACGAAGGTCTCAACCCCTGTTGGTAACTAAGATAGCCTTCTTGAGTCGTCGCAATTAACGGACGTGCATTTTTAGCACATTTTGGTCTTTAGTTCAGATGTCTGTAAATGGGGGTCCATCTGGTACAAATATTCCTTTATCTAAAACAATTGGTCAGTTTATGATGTATACTGCCTTCTGAAAAGCTAACCATATGGGATATCTCATGAAACAGTATAACGATCATCGTCCTTAATTATTGCTGCTTCAATGTTCCTATTTAATGATGCAACAACTGGTCTGCCTGGCCGTGCGTCCTCTTGAATGTCCACGTTACCATTCTTAAGTTTGTTCACTCATAGTCCTCAATGTGACGGCAGAGGAGCCTTTCATGCTACACAACTCTACAATATCAGTTTTAGTTTGGTCTGTAAATCACACTGTTCTTTATTTTATAGGAGCGGATTTCAGGTTTAGTCTTAACCTTAATTTTAGCATTGAAAAGTAGCCACTTGTCGCGAGTGCATACCATTTAACAATGAATAACTTCAATTCTTGTCGGATGCTGTCGAAATTTTGCACCTGCAGTGTTCTTTAACCCTTTCATCCCATTATGGTCTACAGGGGTGAAAGGGTTAAATGCTTTTGCAGTCTGCCAAGGCGTTTAACTATATCATAGCTTGTTCGTACAGGCACTGTGTGGTGATAGAATGTATTGAATGGTCCCCGTAGTAAGCTAATAGGCTAGTTTCATCTGAACCATGCCTGATAATTAACGTTGTCTTCAGTGTTAATGTGTAATAGTATATTTTATTTTTAGAAATTCACTGTTTAGTTAAAAAGGGTAACTGACGTCAAAGACTACTGCTGAAATATTCAATGGTAATTAGATTTAATTCGTAAATATTTACTAAGGATAAAAAACATCCTACACAAATGCACTACACATTTCAGGGCAATGAAGGGCATCACCAGTATACTTCAAAGCGTCTATAAACGTGTAACTAATAGCAAGATTTGTTGACAAAATATTCATAACATTTACGAAACACGAAATATCCTAAAACATCATAGCTACTAGAACAGACCTTTCAAACTGTGATATCATTATCAGCATATATACGTGGCCGTAGACGTTTCCCATACATGCACTTTATTGATTTTAGAAGATAATGCAATCACATGATCATTGATAATTTACCTGAAAAAATAATAACTGCTTTAAATTGTAGCTTCATAATTGCTTTAACATGATTGAACATCATTTGCAACGGATGGCTGTATTAGGTGTCAAACAGTTTATCAGGCCTGTACGTGTATCTTATTAAATTGATATACAGTCTGATCATGCATCAAAATAATTAATTCAGTCAAAAGAATATTAATAAGAATATAAACGGATTAGAAAGAAAAAAACAGGAAGTAATTATCTGATCGGAATAATTAGCAATTCTCTTTGCAGATCTCTCATCTGCATGGACACATGGTATGTCCTTACAACTCAACCGTGTACCAACCACAATTAAACTTGGTTATCTTGATAGGAAAATAACTTTTTTTGTCAAGAAGACAAAATTTCTCATGATTTTAATAGCTTTAAAGCATTACTAATTTGTCTGTACCTATTGCAAGAGATAATTAATGGATAACTATGGAAGCCAGAGGCAATTTATTGATGTTACTGTAGGCTGTTGTATACTGGGATATGGATTCTCAACAATTTACATTTTTTTGATAATTTCCATGTACAAATATTCCTCATAAATATTTACTCCTAATTTCCCTTCCTAGTGTTAAGAAGAATCAACATGCCAAAGGTTAAGCTTGTTTATCGATCAGTTTTCGCTGAAAATCACCTGTGATCGGTATAACTTAAGGATCCTTGTCCCACCCACGATTCCACTGTAGCTTTTAGCCCACTATCATCAGATGGCGAGTTATTCAAATCACCATGCGTCCGCGAAATTTACTCCTAATTTCCCTTCCTAGTGTTAAGAAGAATCAACATGCCAAAGGTTAAGCTTGTTTATCGATCAGTTTTCGCTGAAAATCACCTGTGATCGGTATAACTTAAGGATCCTTGTCCCACCCACGATTCCACTGTAGCTTTTAGCCCACTATCATCAGATGGCGAGTTATTCAAATCACCATGCGTCCGCGGTGGTCCGTCCATTATTCTGTCCGTCCGTCATTCCGTCATTCCGTCTGTCCTTCTGTCCGTCCTTCTGTCCGTCCTTAATTCCTGTTAGCGCTATTTTTCAAAAAGTCCTAAATGGATCTTTCCTACATTTCACAGGAAGGTTCCCCATGGTCCCTAATTTTGCATAGTAATTTTTGGAACTTATCACAAAACCTAGATGGCCGACAGGCAGCCATCTTGAATTTGAGAGTTAAAGTTTGTCGGCACTATTTCTCAGAACTTCCACGAGAAATCTTTCTAAAATTTAGCATGAAGTTCTCCATGGTCCCTAGTTATGCATATCGACTTTTGGGGATGATTGGAAAACCAAGATGGCCGACAGGCATCTATCTTTAATTTGAGAGCACAAATTTGTTAGCGCTACTTCTCAGAAAGTGCTGGAGAGATCTTTCTTAACTTTCACATGAAGGTTCCCAATGGTCGTAAGTTATGCATATCGTTTTTGGGGCGACTGGCCACAAAATCAAGATGGCCGATAGGCAGCCATGTTGATTTTTTTAAAGTTAAAATGTGTTAGTACTATTTCTCATACGTACAAGACAGATCGCTCTCAACTTTCACATGAAGGTTCCCCATGGTCCTTAGTTACGCATATTATTTTTTGGGACTGCTCAAAAAACCCAGATGGCCGACAGGCAGCGATTTTGAATTTGATAATTAAAGTTTGTTAGCACAATTTCTCAGAAAAAAAACCCAAGAGAGATTTTTCTCATGTTCATTTCACAAGACGATTCCCAATGATCCCTCGTTATGAATATTACTTTTTGGAACAGATCATAAAACCAAGGTGGCCGACAGCCAGCCATCTTGAATTTGAGAGTTAAGTTGGTTAGCGCTATTTCTCAGAATGTACAGGAAGGGTCTTTTTCAAATTTCACATTTTCCATGGTCCCATGTTATTCATTTTGAAATTTGGGGATGATTGAAAATCCAAGATGGCTGGCAGGTGGCCATATTCAATTTTGGAATAAAGTGTTATTAGTGCTATTGCTCAAAAAGTATTGGAGGGATCTTTCTCAAATTTCACGTAAGGGTTCCTTTTTGTTCTTAGTTATGCATTTCAAATTTTAGGACTGATCTGAAAACCGGGATGCAGACAGGCAGCCATCTTGTTACAGTTAAAGTTTGTTGTTGCTATTTCTCATGAAGTACTTGAGGAATCTTTCTCAAATTAGATATGTTCGATCTACTTGGTCCTTAGTTGTGCATGTTAACCTTTGAGGTTGATCATAAGACTGATTAAAATGGCGGACAGGAAAACTGGTCAAAAAGATAAGAGAAAAGATCAAACTGACACAGAATTAATGAAGATGGTACGATGGTAGGGGCCAATATCCCTCTTGGATCTCTTGTTTTGTACAAAGAGTAACCTCCCCTGAATTCCATTTCAGATAGCACAGCTGAGCTAGGACTCTACCATTGACCACGTAGCTGAGTTGGTAAGAGTGACAGTATAACAATTGAAGATCCAGGGTTTGAATCCTGTTCTGGCCATGTTGCATTTTTACACTTAAAACACTTTTGTCCATTTTTTTTTTGCAAGTTCATTTGAATATTTTTTTTTACAAGCTATGCTTTTCTTAGAAATGACTAATCAAAGCTATTGTAATGTCAGAAAAAAAGTTCCCAGTACATAATTGAATGTTTTTTGACAGTGGTACAGGTATCATTAATGATGACTTTTTAAATAACGACTGATCAGCTGGTACACCAAAGTCATCCAGTCATAAAACATCACAACAACCTATACATATGAATTTGATCAAATAACATGCATTTATATATATAGTTGATACATTTTATAACATAATATTTCCACAAAATATATCTACAAGTGTATGAATATATTACAGACGAGGAAAACGAAGACCAAACAGGTAGACTAAGTTACCTCTAATGACGATCCCAGAATGAGAACAGCATCCGCTTCCTTCACTTTTTTAAACACAAAGTTGACTGTAGGTTTAGGTACATTATCACCGAAGAAAATAATCTCTGGTTTGAGAGCTCCGCCACAGTTAGGGCATTGTGGAATCTACACAACAATACAGGAATCAATGATTATAACATAAACAATACAGGAATCAATGATTATAACATAAAAAATACAGGAAACAATGATTATAATATAAACAATACAGGAATCAATGATTATAAGATAAACAATACAGGAATCAATGATTATAACATTAACAATATAGGAATCAATTACTATAACATAAACAATACATGAATCAATGATTATAACATAAACAATCCAGGAATCGATGATTATAACATAAACAATGCAGGAATCGATGATTATAACATAAACAAAACAGGAATCGATGATTATAACATAAACAACACAGGAATCAATGATTATAACATAAAAAATACAGGAATCAATGATTATAACAAAAACAATACAGGAATCAATGATTATACCATAAACAATACAGGAAACAATGATTATAAAATAAACAATACAGGAATCAATGATTACAACATAAACAATACAGGAATCAATGATCATAACATAAACAATACAGGAATCAATTATTATAACATAAACAATACAGGAATTAATGATTATAACATAAACAATACAGCAATCAATGATTATAACATAAACAATCCAGGAATCGATGATTATAACATAAACAATACAGGAAACAATGAATATAACATAAACAATACAGGAATCATTGATTATACAGGAATCAATGATTATAGCATAAACAATACAGGAATCAATGATCATAACATAAACAATACAGGAATCAATTATTATAACATAAACAATACAGGAATTAATGATTATAACATAAACAATACAGGAAACAATGAATATAACATAAACAATACAGGAATCATTGATTATACAGGAATCAATGATTATAACATTAACAATACAGGAATCAATGATTATAACATTAACAATACAGGAATCAATGATTATAAGATAAACAATACAGGAATCAATGATTACAACATAAACAATACAGGAATCAATGAGTATAACATAAACAATACAGGAAACAATGATTATAAAATAAACAATACAGGAATCAATGATTCTAACATAAACAATACAGGAAACAATGAATATAACATAAACAATACAGGAATCATTGATTATACAGGAATCAATGATTATAACATTAACAATACAGGAATCAATGATTATAACAAAAACAATACAGGAATCAATGATTATACAGGAATCAATGATTATAACATTAACAATACAGGAATCAATGATTATAAGATAAACAATACAGGAATCAATGATTACAACATAAACAATACAGGAATCAATGATTATACAGGAATCAATGATTATAACATTAACAATACAGGAATCAATGCTTATAACATAAACAATACAGGAATCGATGATTATAACATAAACAACACAGGAATCAATGATTATAACATAAACAATACAGGAAACAATGATTATAATATAAACAATACAGGAATCAATGACTATAACATTAACAATATAGGAATCAATGACTATAACATAAACAATACAGGAAACAATGATTATAACATTAACAATACAGGAATCGATGATTATAACATAAACAAATACAGGAAACAATGATTTTAACATAAACAATACAGGAATCGATGATTATAACATAAACAATAAAGGAATCAATGATTATAACATAACCAATACAGGAAACAATGATTAAAACATAAACAATACAGGAATCGATTATTATAACATAAACAATACAGGAATAAATGACTATAACATAAACAATATAGAAATCAATGACTATAACATAAACAACACATGAATCAATGATTATAACATAACCAATACAGGAAACAATGATTATAATATAAACAATACAGGAATCAATGACTATAACATGAACAATACAGGAATCAATGACTATAACATAAACAATATAGGAATCAATGACTATAACATGAACAATACAGGAATCAATGACTATAACATGAACAATACAGGAATCAATGACTATAACATGAACAATACAGGAATCAGTGATTATAACATAGACAATACAGGAATCAGTGATTATAGCATAAACAATACAGGATTCAATGATTATAACATAAACAAATACAGGAAAGAATGATTATAACATAAACAATAAAGGAATCAATGATTATAACATAACCAATACAGGAAACAATGATTAAAACATAAACAATACAGGAATCAGTGGTTATAACATAAACAATACAGGAATCGATTATTATAACATAAACAATACAGGAATAAATGACTATAACATAAACAGGAATCAATGATTATAACATTAACAATACAGGAATCGATGATTATAACATAAACAATAAAGGAATCAATGATTATAACATAACCAATACAGGAAACAATGATTAAAACATAAACAATACAGGAATCGATTATTATAACATAAACAATACAGAAATCAGTGATTATAACATAAAAAATACAGGAATCAGTGATTATAACATAAAAAATACAGGAATCAGTGATTATAACATAGACAATACAGGAATCAATGATTACAACATAAACAATACAGGAATCGATGATTATAACATAAACAAATACAGGAAACAATGATTTTAACATAAACAATACAGGAATAAATGACTATAACATAAACAATACAGGAATCAATGACTATAACATAAACAATATAGGAATCAATGACTATAACATAAACAGGAATCAATGATTATAACATAAACAATACAGGAATCAATGATTATAACATAAACAATACAGGAATCAATGACTATAACATAAACAATACAGGAATCAGTGATTATACAGGAATCAATGATTATAACATAAACAATACAGGAATCAGTGATTATAACATAAACATTGAAGGTGTTGTGTGTATAACGCAGAGATAGATTTGATTAAAGCGAACCTTCAATATTAAAAAAACACATTGCAAAAAATATATTCATTTAAAACATATAAGGCAAGATCCAAACACAGCGAAGGTCAGGTTGCATTGCAATTGGACTGAAAAGCTGGTCAACTGATATAGCAATGGGGTGAGAAATGTTGCAGGAATTTTAAAAAACTGCGACCCCTAACTATACATGCCTTGAACAAACTTTGAAAATGAATATGCCAAATCCAGCATGCATGGCACATGTATTTGGAAGGGGCGAAAGTTAACTTTATTTCATGTTTTGAATATTTACATAACTTCCTAAGGCTGAAAGGATTTCAAATCCATTTAGGTCAGGTCCCTTGCTTTTATAGCTCACCTGGCCCAAATGGCCAAGTGAGCTTATATTTGATTGCCCTAGTGCAGCATCCATCAGCCGTCCAACGTCCGTCCAGCATCAACTATTTACTTTAAACAATTTCTTCTGAATAACAAAATTGCCCAGGCTGTTGATATTCAGCCAGTAGCAAGCTGGGATGAAGGGTTAGCTACCAAGTTTGTTCAAATGAATGACATTACAAGTTCACAAGGGTCAAATTTGTTAAAACCAAAATGGCTTTACAAAATTGTATTGATGATGTTTGGTCAGTAGAATGCTTGGGTGAAGGGTTACCAAGTGTGATCAAATGAATGAACAACATCTATATTCAAGGTCACAGGGGTCAGTTGTCTTAGAAAAACTTAAAAAATCTTCTGATTAACCAAAAACCAAGGTGATGATATTTGACCGGTAACATGCTGGGTTGGAGGGCAACCAAGTTTATTTGAATGAACAACCTTCACCAATATTCAAGATTCAAGGTACACTTTAACCCTTTCACCACTGTAGACCATTAAATGGACCCCTCTATATGAATGCATGGTAGAGTCTACTAAAGTTACATAGGGGTGAAAGGGTTAAGTTCATGCAGCTGTTTTCTACATCAGGCAAAAGTTATTGCCCGGACAATGAATTTGACCTTTGCGGAAGGTCTAGGGTAGCGATATTTGGCAAGTTGCATACCGAGATGAAGGGTTATAAAGTGTGCTTAACTTAATTACCTTGTTAGATTTTCAAGATCACAGGGGTCTAATTATATGTATAAATCTTTCAACGGATTCGTTTGAATGACTAAGTGTCATAGATACTGATATTTAGCTTAATTTCAATCCACTTGATTAAAAGTTACAGGTGTGAGATTAATACCTGGTGAGTGATGCAGGCCCCTTGGGCCTCTCATTAATACTAACAAAGTAAGTTTGGTTCACATGGGAAGTGAACAAGATTACTGTAGGCTCTGTAATGATAAAACTTCAAACTTAATTAGATCTATCTCCCCAGTATCCTATGGGCATTACAGCAATATAAAGAAAACATGTATTACTGTAGAAGAGTCAAAGCAACCTACAATACAAAATGACAATATTTTTCATTAATAAATACTTATGTGTAACCTAATGTGACACATTAATTATGTACTTACAATAATAATAATAGCTACTACAATGGAAGTTTTTAATTAGCGTTATCACAATTACACACTTCAGTTCATATGAATCAATCTGTTTTTATCATAAAATGTAATTGAAAAAGTCAGGCTTTGATGGTCCTCTTAATGACCCCATGATGTGAAATTTGAGATATTGCAAACCACATCTCATTTATTATATATTTGTAACTGCTTTGAAAGAAATTATATACCATATATGGGTTGTTCGTATCAATTATAGATTCGGAAAATTGCAATTACATAGTCGTTCCCATGCATTAAGCTCACATCAACATACTGACAGTGTAAAATATCAAAGTTTTAACCTCAATTTTAAATCACTCTCAAAATAGTCTTTATCGGTCACACAATGACATGTTTATAAACCAATACATTGTTATTATTAAAAAACAAAGACATTATTTTGGTTGACTTGGGTGCCAATCTGTGTATGACACCGCATATATATGTGAGCATCACAAGCTATATGTATATAAATGAATATACATGTATATTGGTGTAGACTCTAATTTACTTCTGTATGGTTGGTAATATTTGCGTTTTCCCCATATTCACAGTCTTAAGTGGAAAACTAAATGTCCAATGAATATCAATTCCATGGACAATAATCTCTGTGAACTTATATTCAATATACAAACACATTCTTTTACCTTTTCTACTGCCGAATAACGAAACTAAAACCACAATACAATACAGCATTTACTCATAAAATAAATCTCATCACCAAAATACAAAAGAACAACCCTGTGAGTGAGATATTTTTACCTGGCCATGGAACCACGAAATTCTAATCCTTGCGGAGTTAAACAATGTTACAGTAGGATGATCATGGTTGACTGAGTAAAGCTAGGAGTAGGAGGGATGAGAGGCAATTTACAGCCGACGTTATTATGTAAACAACTAGGCTATCACTTAATCAGTCGTGTATTGCTATCAGCTTGTATACCTAATATTATATCAGAACAGCTAACAAATATCTGTTTTTAATGGCTGGCCATGCAGCCACAACATATTCTATCATGCAGGTTTTCCATTTCGTTTTTTATAATTTCATTGACCTCTATATTTGATGGTGTCTTAACTATTTCACCCCTGGGTACCTTTAATAGACTTGATCATGCATTTATTGGAACTGGTCCATAATGGCCTAAGGTGGTGAAAGGGTTAATCTCATTCACCCCTGAAGTTTTCGTAATGAACTATCCAACCTTTGAATTAGAAGAGTTCATATGTGTCTTTAGGGGTGAATGAGTAAATGTTATATCTCCATTGTATGTACTTTGACATCATACACAGTATGAGTGATGCCTGCTTTTATGTCACGTTACATGATAGATTAGATAATCCAGTATTTTCTATTTCTATGATACATTTTTGTATTTATTTTTTTGACAGATAATTTCATTTATAATAGAGTGTGGCATGCTATGTGTGTTTTAATTATTAGAGTTTGTTGTGGCTTTTAATTACCTATTAATAAGTAACTTACCTGATAAAAGGTACACACACTTATTAAATCAAGCTTGAAGCCCAAGTTCACCCACCATATGTCACAGGTTAAATATCAAAACTATAGGACCTCCTTTTTGACATCCACTAAAGGGTGGACTAGTAAACATGTTACCGTCCCCCTGACAGCCTGCAGTATTAGAGTGCTATTTGGTGAAATGTCTGGCAGTCTCTATGATTTCTGACAGCTGACTTATTGATTCGACACAGTAGTTGTGGCTTAGTGAGTTGTTTTCAGTGGATTAGACTCGAGACGCCGGCCATTTACATTCTTTGCTTGACAAAAGAAACAAATGTTTTGCGAAAGCTCGCAAAATGATACTGTTTGTGTTCAAAACAAACTTAGCATTTTTAGGACATCTTGTTAAAGAAGTTTTTATTTACAGATTTTAACACATTTGACACCTGTAACCTTTCTCCAGCTTTTTACAGGCCAAATACCATGTACATAGGCATCTTCAGGCTTATACTGACTCATGTGTCCTTTAATAATAAACTTTATTTATTGTGTCCTTTAAAATTAGCAAAGGTCATTATCCATCTAAGGAAACTTTACAGCCTCCTTCCAGCATGCTATTGGTCAAATATTATGACTACAGGAATATTGGTGATTCATAAGATATTTGAATACATAATAACCAACTCCTATGATCTTGAAAGTGGGTCAAATATCATGACCATATGTAAAAGGATTATGTATGCATCATGGTTATTTAGACGTTGTATAATGGTTTTTATATATTTGAACTCATTGACTTTGAAAATAGGTCAAGGTCATTTATTTGAACACATTCTATGGGCATCTTCCTGACATATTAGTGATCAAATATCATGATACTGTATAATGAAGTTGGCCATTTGGTTATTTAAAGAAAAAACTGAAATTGTTCAAGATTTTGACATATTTTTTTCTCTCATTACATGGAAAATATGTTTAGAATTTTATTTTGGACAAATCTGATAGCACTGATCGAATCCTCACAGGATTATATAGCATTACCCTACTTAACTCTGCATTTGAATGGAAATTTTCCATTTAACATTTGTGAATTTGACCCCTGTGATCTTGGAATGGGTCAAGTGATTCATTTAAAAAAAAAATTGAAGTCCCTCCCCTCATATTTTACTGGTAAAAGAATCGTGACACTTAATTTTGCCTTTGGTTATTATGCAGGAAAAAACTTGTTTTAATGCTTTATACAAATTTGACCCATCTCACCAGCTTGAGGGTGAGTCAATGTCTTCCATTTAAACAAACTTTAAAGACCTTCATTTCAGCATTTTACAATTTTCTTTGGAGGAAAATCATTTATCCATCTTCATGGTAATGTGGGTCAATATAGTGACCCAACATAGTGTATGCCTCTTACAAAAGTGTACTTATTCCATCACAAGAAGTGCGAAGATTTAAACAAATTTGATCTCTGAGGTCATCTTCATTCGCAAACTTTGATGGGCTCCATCTATAAGGAACTACTTGTCAAATATCACTACTCCATGCCTTTCACTTTTTCAAGAGAAACCGTTTGCAGTGTTTGCTATATTTGACCCCTGTGACCTTGAAAGTAGGTTGAGGTAATATTCAATAGCCAACTCTGTCGGGCTCCGTCTGTGACATTTACCAGCCAAATATCATTATTCTATGCCTTTAGATTATTCTGAAGAAGTAATTTGAAGTGTTTGACACATTTGGCCCCTATGACCTTGAAAGTAGGTTGAGGTCATTTTCATTCACAAGCATTGTCTGGCTCAATCCCGAGAAGTAACCAGCCAAATAATATGATTCTGTGCATTTCGATTATTCAGAAGAAGTTGTTTGATAAGTTTGACATGTTTGACCCCTGTCAGCTACCAGCCAAACATTCAGATTCTATACCTTCCAGTTCTTCAGAAGAAGTTGTTTTAAGTATTTGACACTTTTGACCCTTATGACCTTGAAAGGAGGTCAAGGTCATTTTGTTTTCAAACTTTGATGGGCTTAATTACCAACGAAGCTACCAGCCAAACATTCAGATTCTATACCTTTCAGTTCTTCAGAAGAAGTCTTTTTAAGTATTTGACATTTTTGATCCCTGTGACCTTGAAAGGAGGTCAATGTCATTTTCGTTCACAAACTTTGTTGGGCTTTAAACAATGAAGCTACCGGCTACATATTAAGATTTTATATCTTTCAATTCTTCAGAAGAAGTCGTTTTCAGTATTTGACACTTTTGACCCCTGTGATCTTGAAGGTAGGTCAAGGTCATTTTCATTCTCAAACTTTGTTGGGCTTTTAAAAACAAAGCTACCAGCCACACATTAAGATTCTATACCTTTCAGTTCATCAGAAGAAGTCTTTTTAAGTATTTCACACTTTTGATCCCTGGCTGTGACCTTGAAAGGAGGTCAAGGTCATTTTCGTTCTCAAACTTTGATGGACTTAAATACCAACGAAGCTACCAGCCACACACTAAGATTCTATTCCTTTCATTTCTTCAGAAGAAGTCATTTTAAGTATTTGACACTTTTGATTCCTGCATGTGATCTTGAAAGGACAAGGTCTTTTTCGTTCTCAAACTTTGATTGGCTCTTAACAACAAAACTACCGGCCACATTATAAAATGTTATACCTTTAGCTTATAGTTCTTCAGAATAAGTTCTTTTAAGTATTTGACACTTTTGATGCATGTGACCTTGAAAGTAGGTCAAGGTCATTTTCATTCTCAAACTTTGTTAGGCTCTAACCAACGAAGCTATCATGACTATATGCCTGTCCATTCTTCAGAAGAAGTCGTTCAAAGGACGAAGCCGGACAGACGACAGACGCTGCACCATGGCATATTAAGCTCACTAGCCCTTCGGATAGGGATATCTCTACTATTAGTACTCTTAGAAACATGACAAAACAGTAACTAGTATCAGGCCTATGTGCAGCCATGGACATGCATGTGTTGCTATCCAGAACATATCAGACTTTATAGATCCACAAAAGGGGCTAGAGATTCAATAATGTGAGAGGGACCCAATCACATGATAAGGACTCTTTGTTTTGTCCCCTGGTAAAGTGATGTGTTTGAACCAATAAGACACATTGTGGACAACAGAGAAAGTCTTTTACTCAAGCAAACTTCATTGTAATATCATGATAAGATACTGTACCTCTGAGTTTTATGAGATGTTGCATTGTTAAAAGAAACAAGAGGCTTAAAAGACACACAAAATGAATATGTATTAGTCTTAGAAACTTACCTAAACTATGAAAACAAATTCTCAAAGATATGTACATGTACGAAAAAGTTGTTTATGTTGAATTTTGACTTTGCTTAAAAACCTGACACTGATAATTTTTTTGTAACAAACCTTGAATCCTTGCACCTGTTCTGTGGTTAGCTGGACATCTCCATCGGGTGCCATGTCCACAGACTTAGCCTGCCACATTGGATTGTGTTGCCCAATCAGATTCTGTAACTGTTCTCGTGACATCTTGTCATCACAACTCATACACATAACTCTGTGGGCACTTCCATGTAGCTCAGTGAGTTTAATACTTCCTGCCTTTATGTGCAAGGCATCAACGTTCTGAGTCACCAGCCAGTGAACTTTTCCTGTGATTTCCCAACGGCGTAAAGTTTTATGACAAAGATTCGGAAGAAAGGATGAAAAAACAGACCATCCAGCATAATTTCTAGCCCAGTACCTTTGACGGATTGATTCACTTTTCACAAAGTCGTTGTATTGTACTGGTCTGTTGTCGCTCCTAGCATAGAGTCCAACCCCCTCAGACCTGTAGTCAGGGATTCCACTTTCTGTGGAAACTCCCGCTCCTGTCAACACCAGTATCCTGTTATTCGTTAATAAAAAGTTTTTCAGGTTATAAATGTCTAGATCACACGCTGGCTCTGCTTTTGGGATAAATTTGTTATTGACCACATGGGCTTCTCTCTGTTGTACCAGTAAGCACCTGATAACATTTCTCAACAGTGACATCTTCAGTAAATTTGTCGTCAATACTGCCCCAACAATGTATCTGAACTCAATACAGCCTACCTGGCCTTCAGAAGTACGGTTACAATTCAAATACAAATGTACATGCTACGTATATACGTACATGTACATCGTCATCAGAACTGTAGTGTCGAGGTTTGATATAACGCCTACAGACTGTGTGTGGGAATTGTTTCAATAACGAAAGTGAAAACAGGATAGTCTTTTGATTGTCCTTTGATAGTAGTAATGATTAGTCACTATAGTCCACAGTGCTCTATCCTACGTGTACCTATTTTTTCGCTATAGGAAGTTGTGATTATGAAAGTAGAATATAAACTAGAGTTGTCTCCCTTATTATATACTTCCGGTATCCGAAAACGAAAGTACGGGAAAAGTGAAAGTTTTAAAACTGGCTCGTAAGTATGGCTTTCATTGAAATCGTTTACTAAAATATAAAGAAATGTGGCTCAGATTATAAGAAGGTCAGTGGTATCACTAGAAGGCCAAAGCCGTACATCATGATAATGAATACACCTATTAGTCGTCAGTAACTCATTGTCATTTAATTTTTATCCCACGCGGTACGAAATTACACACTGTTCCGTGTTCGCACTATTTTTCCGGATAGCCGAGGGTAGTGATGCACACAATAAACTATTGTTTAATGTTTCTTTCTTGCGCACGCCGATTTAATATTTTTTATTGACTGACTATTTTCCCTATTTAAACAACTTTGGAAACACAAAGTGAACTTGAAAGACATGTAGAGCTGTTGAAGAAGAGTTCTTAATTTTTAGCTCACCTGCCGACACACAGCTGGTGAATGTATGGCATGACGCAGGGTACGTTGTTTGTCAAATTCTGAATAATGCACAGGCTTTTGACCATTACATTTATAATGTAGAATGCTTGGTTGAATGTTTTTTTCATTCGATTGTTGAATTTAACAACCTTGACCCAATTTCAAGGTCACTCACACGTGTCAAATGTGCTTATCCTTCAAATGACGTTCAAATAACGAAATAGAGTTGTAACCGGAGAGGAAAACTGCACGGCCAGACTGGGGCTTGAACCACTGACCTTCTGAACTCTAGACGGACGCTCTATACCTATTGAGCTACGCATATATATATACTGTACCTGGTTGTCAATGATCGATCCATGGCCAGGCCAGTCCAATTTCTGCTACATTAATCCTCCCAAGGTTTGGGTAACCCTTTGCCAAGCTGATACACCAAATGCTTGAAAGAGGGTTGGTCACACCAACGACCGACCCAGTCAAGTTCTGCTTCAGAATCATACTAATATATGTATATATGCATTGTACATGTACCTATAGTATTCTGGAGTGAAGAGCTTAAATATACCTTTTTTTCAAATGTATGACCTTGACCTACTGTACATGTATCTTAATTAAGTCATGCACAGAGATAAAATATGTCAAAATAATTTAAAATCTTCATCTGAATAATCAATTGGTCAAGGGAAATGGTATTTTGCCTCTAGCATGCCAGAGTGAAGGGTTATTTAGCTTGTTCCAATGGTTGCATTGTGTGATGGGAAGACCCAGGGGTTAGACATGTTAAAATATGCATGTTAAAAACTTCTTACTAACATAACGTTAGTGTCCTCGATAAGTGAGGTACTGAATGACCACGACTTTAAAGGTCACATGAGTAAAATATGCCAAAATCTTCAAAAGAAGTTTCACATAAACTGTAGAGTAATTGTTAGAACCATATATGCATCCAACAAAGATCCCTTTTGTTTTGTATAATGATATTCAACTTCTTTAAATAAATTTGCTGGGACCTTGAATCTTTTTGAAGATAACAAATTTGTATTTACTGATTATTATTATATTCATGTTAATCATTGCTAAGCCCCTGTGATTGTACTCTACTGCTATGTGGAAAAGTTTAATGTAAAGCACAGGTAGATGACACTGTATAAAAAATCCTATTGGAGTATAGATATACCTGATATACATATATGTCATAGTTTATGTTCTAATTATATACATTTTGTATGCTCTCACCACTTTATGGTAATGATAAGGGATCCTTTCTTTTCATGTCTTGTTTTGTCCTGAATCAGTGTCAACTTTGTACAAATGTCAAGTATGAAAACACCACAAATGGGTTTGTAAAATACCTATTATATTGCCATGGGCTACAAGGTCACCACAACTATTTATAGAAATTTGTGTCAACCAATTCTGTTACATCTGTCTAGCGACATTATTTTTAAGGGATTTTGATCAAAAACTACACAAAGGTCAAGAATGAGAATACAATTTGTATCTCAAATGAGTTTAGATTTCAGATTTCCAAGGTCAAGGTCACCATGGCATTAACATTTGTAGATAATTTTCAAACAATGAATCTTATTTCCATTTCATAGGAGCAGGGGATTCAGTAATCTTCCACAAAAGATCAATAAGTTGCAGAGTATATAATATAATAAAATTTATCTCTTTAGTAACAGCTTCTTTACTTATTGTGTTTTTAATTATTTGACTTTGACCAACACAGGATGACACAGATGTAGGATGTATTTGCCAAAAGCATTAAATAATAGCTAATTGGGCCTTCTGTTAAGTGCATATGTATGAATGGGATTACTCTTAAAATGAAAAAAATCATAATGTTCACAGGCGTGGGGTTTGTGCTGAACCTTTTCAGGCAGCCTGGTATAAAGGTTTCCCGTCAGTCTGCTCAAGCCTTATTTCACACTGAGAGAGAAGTGATCGCAGACTTGGAGGACATGAAGCTTCAGTCTGTGGTAGGACTGTTGTATCAGTATGCGTCACCCAAACTGGCCGGAGACTGGGACAATGTGGGACTACTGGTGGAGCCGACAGACCCACACGAGGTACAGTCATAATCACAGCTTAAGTACCATTATATAAAAGAAATATTTAGGAAAGATGTCTGTTACATCAAACAAATGTTGCTAAGAATTTTATGGAAAAATTAAAAAACTCACGATGTGTCTGTAAATTATGCTTTGTAGTTGTCTTCCTATAGCTAAGTTACTGTGAATTATGCATGGTAGTTGTCTTCCTATAGCTAAGTTACTGTGAATTATGCTTGGTACATATAGGTGTCTCAAAAATATCTGTAAATTATTTATTGCAGTAAATTATGCATGGTTTGTGTTGTTGTCCAAAATGAACATGAATGATTTCCATGGTGGTTTAGTTTAATATCTGTCTATTTTAAACTTAAGATATAAATCACTTATAAAGAATGAAATGCTGAAATAAAAGTGAATATAAAGTTTAAAATTAACTATCAAGGTGACCAAACTCTTCCTGACCAATGACCTCACACCACCTGTGCTTGACGAGGCTATTGACGAGAAGGCCAACATGATTCTGTCCTACCATCCTCCACTGTTCTCTCCTGTGAAGCGCCTCACTCAGGCTAGCTGGAAGGACAGAGTTATAACAAAGTGTATTGAAAACCGGATAGCAGTATTCTCTCCTCACACTTCCCATGATGCTCTAGATGGGGGAGTGAATGATTGGCTTATCAGTGTATTTGGTAGGTCAATGTTCTGTAATTTGAATTTCTATACCTATTTTATACAATTTAGTGTATTTGATTTAAGTAACAGAACTAATCAATCATCTTGCTTCTGTATACTGTAGTAATAGAATATTTATTTATCATGTTAAAACTGCACAAAATATAGTGTATACATTCCTTCAACAGATTTACGGGACAAAAGTCCAATAGAGCCGACAGTGATGCCAAACAAGAAATTTAGCAAGAAAAGAATCTTCACCGTACCAGTCAATCTCGCACCAAAATTGATAGAAGGACTCTCAAATATAAAGGGGACAGTCACCACATCTATAGCAGTGTAAGGCATTTATAATATCTATCTCTAAATGGCCACTTAGAGACTTAGCATATATGTCAGTCAGTATAATAAGTCTCAAGAGGTAGATGCAAAAGGGAGGTAGACTTTGAGAGAGTGGAATGATGGCTGCCAATGACCCTGGTATGTTGACTTTGAGAGTGGAGTGATGGCTGGCAATGACCCTGGTAGGCTGGCTGGGAGGGGATGGGATGTTGGCTGGCAATGACCCTGGTAGGCTGGCTGGGAGAGAATGGGATGTTGGCTGGCAATGACATTGGTAGGCAGACTTTGAGAGGGTGGGATGATGGCTGGCAATGGCCCTGGTAGGCTGGTTGGGAGAGGGTCAGATGTTGGTTGGCATTGACCCTGGTAGGTCAGCTTTGAGAGTGGAGTGATGGCTGGCAATGACACTGGTAGGTCAGCTTTGAGAGCGGAGTGATGGTAGGTCAGCTTTGAAAGCAGAGTGATGGCCGGCAATGACCCTGGTAGGTCAACTTGGAGAGTGGAGTGATGGCTGGCAATATATGACACTGGTAGGCTGACTTGGAAAGGGTGGGATGGTGGGTGGAAAAAGAGTCAGTTGCATGTAGTATGATCTAAAATAGATATTAAAGTTCTCTCTCTTTTTTTTTTAAATATTTTGTTTAAATATATAATGCATAATTATTTTATTAATATATCATCTGATATGATCATTGTGAATTCTCTGACGTACACGCGCATATAATATTCTGTCATCACCGCTTGAAATTTGACATAAAATTAGTCCCCCACCCCTGTTCCAAAGGGAGGGAGGGGGGGGGTTGCTTGAGGTTTGCACTCCATCCATCCGTCCTTCTGTACGATAAGTTTGTCTGGGACATATACCTTCTATACTATTTCACCTGGAGTAAACAAATTTGATGTACAAGGACATCTTGGGATGGCAGAGTGCAAAGTGCAAGAATTAAGTCATTGTGACCTTAGAACTTTACTTTTGAAAAAGTTTATCCGGGGCATATCTTCTGTACTATTTCACCTGGAGTAAGCAGATTTGGTGTACAAGGACATCTTTAGATTATGGAGTGCAGAGTGCAAGAATTAGATCACTGTGACCTATGACTTGACCTTTGACCTTAACTTTTGAAAAAGTATGCCTGGGACTTATCTTCTATACTATTTCACCTGGAGTAACCAGATCTGGTGTACAAGGAAATCTTTGGATGGTGCAGTGCAAGAAGTAGATCACTATGACCTCACTGTGACCTTTGCTTCCTTACATGAGTGTACTGTTTGTTAAATATAGAAATCATTACTGGTGGGGAACTTTGGATTGCCCTGCAATACTTTGCCTTGTTAATGAAGTAATTATATAAGATAAATTGCAGATTCCTGGTTTTGCTGTCAGTGTTTAGTCCTAATGACCTTGAAAATCTGAACAGAAAGTTACTTTCTACAAACATCAGTTATGTGCTAAATTAATGGTATTATACATGCATCATCTTTATGCATTATTATTTACAATTGAATATGGTATGATCACAAAGATGTCTACCTGTGATTTGCTATTTTCATAGCAGACATGTAGATAACACTGACAATCATCTCTATCATATCACTAATTGTTTCAACACAATATACCGAGAATGTATTAATAACTTTCTGATGATGTGATGCCTGTTATTTCACCAGTGACCCTGACCTTGTCCAGATCAGTTTCCTTGGAAACCAGGAGAACGCCCCTGATGTGATGGCTGTCATCAGTGAACACATGAAGGTCATCAAGTCTATAGAATCATACGATCTACAGAAGGTATGGCTCAGTCGGGTGTAATGACGCAATTAATTATAAATTATCAAAATAAAACGTGAGACTAGGTTTACAGAAGATATGTTATAGCTGGAATTAATTATGAATTTAAATGTACTGTCATTACCACAAAAAATATTCATGTATAAATGATTTATGAAATTATAAACATAAAATGTTCTAAATTGCCATTGCCTCTATAGGGATGTAGTGGTATTGTATCTAACGCCTGTTGACATCTAAATCTGATGGCCCCTGGTGACTGTAGTACATGCAGTGACATTTTTACACTCCAAATAGAAAAGATTTTTTTTTTTTCAAACAGCATTTTGTTATCCACTATTAATGTCTGTGTTTTCATTGGATGACTTGCTGAGTAGAATGGTGTATGAATAGTGCAAATGTGAGTGTCTCACTCTCTTTAACTGAGAAACCGATTTGACTGGTTTAGGTGTCTAAGGCCTGTATAACCTGCATTACGTTTGTATCTACTGTTACACCTGTAGGTAGTATGGCCGGGGTATGGTATGGGACGGAAAGGTACACTAAAACAGCCACTTTCTCTGGAGGATGCTGTCTCTCTAGTAAAGAAACACACCAACCTCGACCATGTACGACTGGCAGCAGCTCAGGGTAAACTTTTAAAAATTCAGTACCTCTTCACTTAACCAAATTTACCTGTGTATCTTTTATTCATATTTAGCTGTAGGGGACTGACAGATTAAGAAAGATCCCTTGCTGAAGTTAGAAACGTTGCTCCTGAAAAGTCAACAAACATAAAATGAGATGAAAAATTGTGTTTTATACTGTTGAAGTATCTAGAGCTTTCATTCCTCATCCAAACAATACAATACATAGCTTTATGAACAATGTTTGTGAATCTAATGTTTGGAAAAAGACATGCAATATTGGTACTTGCATACAATTTTAATCATTTAATATTCAAATAATAATTTCTAAAAAATATTTTAGAAAAGAGTATCATATTTTCAATGTTACAAGAAAACATCAACTGATCAGGAACTATAAAATTAACCAGAGTATTCAAGATATGCAATTTGGAATGCTCAGTTTGGAAAAAAAAATCAATATTCTTATCATGTTATTTGACTTTATTTAAAAAAAACAATGGCAATGTTTTTATATAGATTTGTTGCTAAAGTCAGTTTATAATACATTGTTTACAACATTGTAGGCAAGTTTATAATACATTGTTTACAATATTGTAGACAAGTTTATAATACATTGTTTACAATATTGTAGACAAGTTTATAATACATTGTTTACAATATTGTAGACAAATTTATAATACATTGTTTACAATATTGTAGACAAATTTATAATACATTGTTTACAATATTGTAGACAAATTTATAAAACATTGTTTACAATATTGTAGACAAATTTATAAAACATTGTTTACAATATTGTAGACAAGTTTATAATATGTTGTTTACAACATTAATTGTAGGCGAGTCTTTGGTTAGCAGTGTGGCAGTGTGTGCTGGGTCAGGAAGTAGTGTCCTAAGGAATGTTCCAGTGTCGCTGTACGTTACCGGGGAGATGTCTCACCACGAGGTACTCCACGCTGTACATAGTGGTACCAGTGTGATTCTCTGTGACCATAGCAACACTGAGCGCGGATACCTGAGTGTGCTCAAACAGGAACTCAACAAACTGTTTAAGGGCAAAATTGACATTGTTATTTCTAGTCAAGATCGAGATCCACTAGAAATAGTGTAATTTAGTGTATAATTTGAAATAATAAAATTTATCGAACACATTTTGAAAATCTAGTGTTAAAAATCAGGTAAGATTTCATCTTGCAACAATTTGTATTCAGTTAATAGTAACAGAAGATCAGATAGTATATAAGAGAGCTTTAGTAAACCTGGCTGAATCTGAATGGGACTGATTAATACAGGGTCCAGTTTATAGTCAGTGATTTAACAGTAAATGTCAACATGCATTAATTTGCATGTTAAAGAAATATCCAGTTTTGATGTTTAATTTACTATAATAAATTATTATCAAATCAACTAAACAACTGCAAAATCACCTGGAGAAAGGAATGCTTGAAAAAGCCAGGGTGTAATAATAGTAATTTATTCATCAAGATTGGTTAAACAATGCCTGTTACCAGAGTAGACAATCAAGATTGGTTAAACAATGCCTGTTACCAGAGTAGACAATCAAGATTGGTTAAACAATGCCTGTTACCAGAGTAGACAGAGTCCACAATAAACAAGTTGATGGCCGATTATTTAAGAGAGAATAAGTTGAGACCAAATATAAGAGCTGGTAAAGATGCTGATGCTCCATGACCTTGACCTTGGGGATATGACCTTGGGTTATGGACAACGATCCTATTAAGCAGGATACAGATACAGAATTCCAAGAAAGGGTTACAAAGTTATGAGTGGATGATATGATATTGTGAACAGTCTGAGGATAATAATGCATCATGACCTTGAATTCAGAGTTATGACCTTAGAACGAGGTCATGACTCATCTTTGAGTTATTGGCAACAATCCAAAGTTTTGATATAAATAAAAGTAAGAATTACAAACTTACAAGTTAGATTGAGGACGAGCGAGCACCAAACTATAAAACACCACACATGTAATGTGGATATATATAACAAGATGCATTTCAATCCTAAAATAAATCTTATGAAGAAAATGTTTAACATGATGACAAAATAACAGCAGAAAATTTCTTAAGTTAAAACATAACTCAAATAAATATTTGTTCCTTTTATTAATAAATGCAGTCTTTACAACCTTAATATTCTACACAAAATGCATCAAATACTAACATTCATTCTCGTACATTAACTACAATGTTGTTCCATAAAACTGACAACATGAAAAAGTCACTTTTGAACATTTGATTTTCTTCCTGTAACGCAATGTATATATACATCTGATGTATTATTAATAAACAGATCTAAAAAATGTCTGTGCCTTACATATTCAATTTAATGACATAAACCAGTAAGGTTCACCATGAACAGCTGCGTGTACAGAGATTTAAGTAGAAAACGATGTTCATGCCATAATGAAAGTGAACACCATCCCAAGTACTTATGTACCACATGCAGCTGTGGAATTGAATACAAGAAATTCAAATAATTTTGAAAAATGTTAAAAGGTTTTTATGGCACTTTCTACTAAAAAAAAACACGGTAATGAAAATCTCAAAGAAATTCTGAAAATTAAATCAACTTACAGCAGATCCACAATTTTAGTTGATCCTTTGTTCTATCTAGAATGTTAGGATTATGTTGAACTGTAAAGTTGAAATCTCTCAAACACTACACTTTCCTAAGAATGCCCCAGAACAATATATATATAGGCAGTGCTGTTAAACTACACAAGAGACAAACACTCATTAATCAACAGTGTAGGCATTAAAGATGGAAGTCAACTTGATTGTAGCTCATGGTTTGAAGTTCTGCACTTAGTTACAGTATCCTGTCCAATATTGAACTATTTTCAGTATCCTGTCCAATATTGAACTATTAACTCACTGATATAATTTGTCAGATTGAAGCTGAAATAATTTTCAATACAGCTTAAGGTGACTCATGCAAAACCTTTACTTTATTTAATAAACGGCAGATCAGAAACTTTGGTACACAAAATGCAGAATGTTTGAAAATAAAAGTGGGAGCCCATCTTTAATGTTTGTTATCTTGAAAAATACATGAAATTTGCAAACAATAGTCATATCTGGTTGTCCCGTTAAATAAAATAGTGATATTTACCAGTGCAAAATAAATTTGAAAACATAATACAGTGAAAAGCATTTGGAATGAAAATACCTAGTAAATGGGAAAACATGTTACTATCCAATGATTTAAAAATACATCAAAGCTAATGGTGACGATGTAAAGGCTCGGTGTATATGTAATGACATGTGTGGCAGTTTTTAATTTCAATCTTACAAAGGAATATGGTTGCCTTCCAGCTTCACACAAGAGGGAACTTCCCTTTGGCTCAGTGGTAGAGCGTCCGACTACAAAGTCTGGGATCACGGGTTCGATCCCCGGCGGGATCACGGGTCGATCCCCGGCGGAATCACACAACGTACCGTACTCACTTTCCTGTTACACAGGGATATAACCAGATGGTTTCAAATATCATTAGATTACTGACAGCTTTAGTGTTAAAGTGTATGTCCAATTAAAGTGTGTCCAATATCTATATTTAGAACAGAAAATACATGTTCTATAGATTAAAATAAGTGGAATACTCAGGAAAGTTCGAGTTTACATGTGTACAAATATAAACTTCCCCGTGCTGAAGAAATCTTTTGATCCACAATGAACTTGAGTGCTTTTTTACTATATGAGTACTCTTTATATGTACTGAACATCATGAAAGTAATGCCTCGGATCCATACATTAAATTACTACATGTAAAATATCCATACATTAAATTACTACATGCAAAATACTAACGTCGTATCAGACTTATTATACAACAGCCATTTCTCAGTGTACAATCGTGTAACTGGCAAGTTGTTTAAATGATCAGATAATTTACAACAACATGTCTTGTATATTAGGGTTAAATTAGCATAAATCAGCAAAACAGCAAAATTATTACTTTTTTACGTACAACAAAAACTGAAGGAATTATCAGTACAGTAACTCGTTCACCCCTGAAATTTCATAATGAACGATTCCAACCTTTGAATTGGAGGACTTTAAATGCATCTTCAGGGGTGAATGAGTTAAGTCCTATCTTCATTAAAGTTAAGTATGTAAAAGTTATGTAATCTCTAGGAACGATATAAAGGTGATTTAGGACGTCTTAATACAAGGGTGACAAGTTATTTATGACAACCAATGAAACGTCAGGACATTTCGTGAGAGGACCACTGCCAAAAAAAACAGAAAAAATCAACAGTTTCAGGTTTATTAGCATATTGCTCACTCAAATGTCAAGATTTCTTTGGAAAATTTATTTATACTTTTGGAATATATTATGTATCAGAAAAACCTTTCATACTTCTAGAATGCTGAATTGATTCCCTATACACCTGATTGAGAACAGCTGTTATACAGTATACCTACTTGTAATGATGAAATCATGGAAATATCAAAGAAAAAATGTACAAAAAACGTCTAAAAATCTGCTATTAAAAACACAAAATTAAAATAAATGCATTAAACTCAATATTTACATAGTTACACAACATATTCAGCATACTCCACTCTTTTTGTTTGTCAAACTAAATATTTACAATTGTCGCCTGTTTATATTTTTCCACCTCTACCTTTTCTCTACTCTCTAATTCTTTGATGAAACATTTGTAGTATTAAATCCTACATCCGTCTGTGACATAGTTCTCAAAAGAGTGACGGTTTTCAATATTATACTACATTCAATAAAATAATAAATATTCAAAACATGCAAAGTTCAATAGAGTAGCATCTAAAATTGAATAGTTACTTAAACATGCTTGATAAACTTTCTCCTCTTACGTTATATTATGTTTAACAAGTCATTTTATAAACACGACACCAGTTTCCAACATGGAAAAAACTGAAAACAACTTCATAACAACAGCTACATTTAGAACAATGTCGCAAATAATTTTGATGTTCAGATTTTTTCCAACTATAAAGGAAGCAATCAATGGTGACCATGCTCCCAGTACTCCTTCAAGTACATAAACCTAATATTAACACACAATTATGTAAACAAACTGTAATATACAAAACACTTGGTCACTTGATATTTACCAATGTCACTGAGCTATTTAGGAACTAGCATGATTTATAAATTATTATACACCCACCCCTCAATCAATTTGAGACCAGCTTGGTATTGTGACGATAATGGTAACAAATATGTAAAGACAAGAAAGTTGAAGCTAAAACTTGAGCTAGAAAACTCTTGTATTGCTGTCTGAGTACTACATCATATCCCAGTACACATGATTCAAACAGTCACATGATTTTATAACGTTCATTGATGGATACTACAAATCCAACTATAAATGATAATAACAATCCATGAAACATGTAAAAGCTTCACATTGAATTTGTACATTTCCAATCTGCATTCATATTTCATTATGAGCGCTCAAAATCTGAAAGCAGTTCAATGTTAATACATTATTGTACTAATTATACCGAAAGTTTTTCAAAATAGCTCCGTGTTATTGAAAACATGATTCATTTATAAAAAGTATGCATTAATTTTATATATATATAATTAGCTACAGATGAAATATATAAATACAGTATAACCCTGTTCAATAAACGAAAGCCACCTTCTAGGAAGAGTTAGTGGTATCGAATGTTGCCATCATAATGATGACATCAATAATGTTACTGTGGCTTTTATAGCAGATATGAATGCCATCTGAAGTTTGAAGGGGTTATTTAGTGATATTGCCATTGAAATGGTAAAGCACCATTCATCATGTCCTGTAATGTGTATGTGGTTACACAAGGCTAGCTATATTTTATATGAACACCGGTGTAATTAAGTTACTGTTACAACATGGACCGTGGTTAGGAAGCCTCATCAACTTTCACAGTAAGCAAAAAATGATAAAGACTTTTAAATTAAGATATTCATACATCAAAACCCCAATTAATATCATATCATAGACAGCTTTGAAAAAAGGTTGAACTTTGATTTGGTGTCATTAAGTTAAATACTGTAAATGTCTGACAGCATTATCATATACGACAAGAGCATAATTTACAACAAAGTTTCTTCTACAAGCTCCTGAACAGCAACATGGCAACAGTCATATCCTCACTTACCAAGGGTTATCATCCATTTTAGGATCTGCTTAAAGTCTTGTTAAATGAAGATGAGAAGTAGTATGCACAGTGTTGCACTGATAACACTGCCACTTCAAGTTTATCGTAGCATTACACGTAAAACCAAAACAATAGTCTAACCAGTAAATGTATATAAATGCAACACATGTATTGATGCACAGCATCAGCACAAGATTAGGTCCATACATTATCAATTAACAGATATGGAAATGCAATATCTTACCAAACAAACAAGCTAAAAATAGAGCTTGTAGCCTGTAAAAAAATATAGCCATAAGTTCTAATGCACATGATATCAAATGTAGCATAGAGTCAAGCTAATTCAATTTTAACAGACAGTTTAAATTTAAAGAAATTATCACAGACTTGTGCACAATCGTTTATCATGTCATGTGTTGGAAAATATTTGTTTTGTGGTAAAAGTGTTCCATCAAGTTGCAGTGATGTGTTGGGAAATTGTTCCGCATGTCCTTAATTTGAAATTCAATAATGTCTTGTTTTATTTGTATATTTCTGTATACATGTAAAATTTACTAAAATTGCTTCAATGTAGATTGTCAGAAACAAGTCATGGTACAGACGTTTGATCTAAAAGTACTTGGCAGTATGTTTTCGGCTTAGGAGTTGGCCACTAGTACTGGTCTGACAAATTAAGTGGGAGTGTCGGGGGGCGAGGCAGTGTCGGTCGATATTTTCCGCTTCGCGGGAGGCTCCTCCCCACTCTCTGCTACACGTTTCTTGGGAGGTGAAGGCTGTGGAATTGATATAATAAAGCATTGATAATTAATGAGGCAAAAGATACAATCGGCGTTAAAAATAAAGAAAAATCCGTAAAACAGATGGATGCTCCCCGAAAACGTGAACAAGACAAGATCGGAGTGTGGATGTTATGTGTTACAGATCTTGACCTTAAAATTGATCACGCCTGCTGCCTGGCAAATTGATATCTCTGAAATAGCTTAACTGTGTAAAATAAACTCCAAAGTGTTATGCAACAAACTGCTTTTTTATTCTACATTTATTAACCTTTGGCAACACAGTAATTAAGATGTGGACAAATAATCTTACCTTTGCACTTAACAAGACCTTTATCTTGGGCATATAGACCCCAAGTAGTAGGCTATGCACTGATTTGCTTTCCTACATATATATCTATAAAGTTTCATTGTTCCATCTTCAGTGAGTCAGAAATTTTAGTTTGGCCATTCACTTTGACCTTTAATTACCATGTGACATTGACTTTGGACATACAGTCCTAATTGTGGTTGGGGACACACTGCTTTTAAACTAGATTATCTTCAGCATGTTAGAAGTTAAGGTACACAAACACCATCTTGCCATTGTACATATGTCTATAAGATTTCATTAAGCTACATGTTTCTTGAGCAAGTCAAAAGTTATGGCCCCGGATGAACAGATAAAGCAGCAACTATACGCTCCCCAAAACCCCAATTTATGAAACGGATTATTAACTTGTATTTATTATTCTACACAAACATATAAAAATTGCATTTTTCAAAATATTTAGAGAACGTTTTATTTCTTACTGGTGACCAGTAATAGTAGGTTGGTAATAAGAAAATGAGCCTGATAAAACTAGTGTTACTGAATATGTTAATACTGTAGTTACATACAGAGGAAATAAAAAAAACAACAGTCTGGTAGAATGTTAAGACGATATAACCGGTGACACAACAATACAAATTTTACACTCAACGTCTCTGTATTTATTTATTTTCTTCAGTACATGTATTTCCCTAGTTGATTAGTAATGTTGACATTGCATTGGAAATACCATGAGGCCCTAAAGTTTATATAAAACTATATTAGATCAAGCAGATTTACCAGAATGGATGGCGGTGCCATGCCTTCATGCTCGGGATATATTAATTTGTTGGCTTTCTGCTTCATCTCTTCATCCTGTATTCAAAAAAAATAAAAAATATAAGGTAGATCAAAATTAAAATCTTTCCATTTTATAAAAGTTAACTTAACAGCTTTTTTTCTTCAAAAATTGATTTAAAGAAAATAATATCACCAATAACTTGACATGTTAAGAAGGAACTAAAATCAATGTTACATACCTTGAACCAGGGGTGATTCAAAGCGTCTGCTAATGTTATTCTCTTCTTAGGGTCCACAGTCATCAACTTTTTTATCAAGTCCACAGCTATAACACAGAACACACATCATATTTTTTTTAAATGTCACAAGAAAAAACCTGCTTTTTAGCTCATACGAAATTGTCTCAAAAATATTTCTTTCTTCACGTCAGCTTTTCTGTTGGGAAGTTATGTAATATAAATATGGCACGAAATCAAGCAGCTTCAATTTGATACTGTGACGGACCTACCACAGGACATGCCATTTGCTAGTTTATTGAAGACTACTACATTAATTAATGATTAGAATTCTGATTTACATTTCCTTGCTTTGTTCGATATGATTTATTACTCCTGCCTATAATCAAGAAGTTTACCAACTGGGCAATCCAACCGAACATTTTCTCACTGTATCTATCCACAGCATAGCCAATTATTTTTCTCTGGTATCTCCGACTAACCTACCGTTCTCTGAGATGCCTGACCAGTACTGTTTGGGGAAGGAGAAATGGGCTCCTAAGATCTGCTTTGGTAAGTCCATGTCCTTCCTCTCATCAGAAAAAGGGGGATAACCTGCCAGACTGAGGTAGAAAACTACATAAATGTCAGCAATCAAAGAAGGCTATTTTTAATCTGATACCAAAGCATACAAAGTAGAATTCATTTAATTTATAAAGACTTTTGTTTCATATTACTTAGTGGCAAGCATGAAGTTTTTAGGTCGCTTTTCGTCCGTCGTCGTCCGTCGTGCGTAATTTTTACATTTTCAACTTCTTCTCAAGAACCAGTGGATGGATTTTTTTCAAACTTGGTCAAAATCATCCTTGGTAGATGAGGCTTCAAAATTGTAAAATTGGGATTCCTACCCCAACCCCTGGGGCCAGGGCGGGGCCCCAAAGGGAAAATTAATCAATATTTCAAAAATCTTCTTCTTCAGACTCAGAGGTACTACACTCATTTACTCTACGTGGAAAGAAAGATCATCAGGGGCTTTACTTAAATTGTAAATTTCAGGACCCCCGAGCTATCCGTTCTCCCTTGGGGAGGGGGTAAAGTTTACTATAGTTTATATAGGGAAATAACACTTTTGGGTATATTTTGACAACTTTCTGTAGGAAATTATTTTTACTTGGTGAGAATTATCCTTGGAGG